ACTTGCACACGAAAATCACTCACTACGAAAGCAAAAGACTTGGCAGACGATGCAACATCCCCCAATGAAAAGCAGGGGTGTCACTAGCACGTTAAGAGACCATTTCAATAAGTGTCAGGGGCCCGAGACTGTTCAACTGCCTCCCAGCATACATAAGGGGGATTACCAACAGACCCCTGACAGTCTTCAAGCTGGCACTGGACAAGCACCTAAAGTCGGTTCCTGATCAGCCGGGCTGTGGCTCGTACGTTGGTTTGCGTGCAGCCAGCAGCAACAGCCTGGTTGATCAGGCTCTGATCCACCAGGAGGCCTGGTCACAGACCGGGCCGCGGGGGCGTTGACCCCCGGAACTCTCTCCAGGTAAACTCCAGGTAATGCGTTTAAAGATATGTTTTTTTCATTAATGTTAATGTAAAAATTTTTAATTTTGCTCCAAAAGAATCTTAGAAAACTTACCTAACTTTATTATAACAACAATTTATTTTAGCCTAACCCAACTTAATATATTTTAGATTTGTTTACAATAATTTAATACTAAACAAACACAGTGAAATATATTTTTTTTCGTTAGGTTCAGAATGATTTTGGCGAAAATTATTGCATACACAAATTTTGGGCTTGTCCTATATGGCAAGATGGGGCGTTGCTATTTAAGACAAGATCGCAAGTTCTGCCTATTCGGCACGACATATATATATATATATATATATTATATATATATATATATTTTATATTTTATATATATATATATATATATATATAATCAACAAGTTGGCCGGCTCCCCCCGAGGCAGGGTGACCCAAAAAAAAAGAAAGAAAATCCCCACAAAGAAAATACTTTCTTATCAATCAACACTTTCCCTCACTCACACATAATCACTGTTTTTGCAGAGGTGCTCAGAAACATAACGTTTAGAAGCATATACCTATAAAGATACACAACATGCCCCCTCCAAACTGCCAATACCCAAACCCCCTCCTTTAGAGTGCAGGTATTGTACTTCCCATTTCCATATATATATATATATATTTATATATAAATATATATAATATATATATATTTATATATTTTTATGTATATATATATATAATATATATATATTTTATATATATATATATATATATATAATATATATATATATATTATATATATATATATACGTATTGGCAAATATCGCAAACACTACTGCCGGATATTTGCAGTTTGTTGGGATGTCTGACCTGTAGTATTGGCACGCCTCTGGCTAGACAGTGATAGAGTGAATGATGGTGTGTTTGTTTTTCGGGTCCCCCTATCTCGGTGGGAAAAGAAAAAGCCACGGGGTAGAATTATTAGTTCAGGTGCTTTCACACGTCTCTTTGCATCATCAGGAGCTATGCAATGTTGCAAGAGTAGCAACGAAAAAGTAAAAGTTTTCTCAGAATAAGGTAGCTTGGTGACACCAGTCAGCTTCTCTCGGGAGATAGTCTGGCTGGTGTCACAACGCTATCTGTTTGCAGATGATGTGAAGTTAATGAGGAGAATTTAAAACTGATGAGGACCAGGGAGGACTTCAAAGGACCTGGACAGACTGGACACCTGGTCAGCAAATGGCTTCTCGAATTTAATCCTGCCAAATGCCAAAGTCATGAAGATAGGGGACGGGCACAGAAGAAACCCCAGACAGAGTATAGGCTAGGTGGCCAAAGACTGCAAACCTCACTCAAGAAGAAAGATCTTGGGGTGAGTATAACACCAAGCATGTCTCCGGAAAACACACATCAATCAGATAACTGCTGCAGCATATGGGCGCCTGGCAAACCTGAGAACAGCATTCCGAAGCCTTAGTAAGGAATCGTTCAAGCTTTATACACCGTGTATGTCAGGCCTATGGAGTATGCAGCCACCTGTTTGGAACCCGCACTTGATTTAAAACACGTCAAGAAAAATAGAGAAAGTACAAAGGTTTGCGACAAGGGGTTTGTTCCAGAGCTAAGGGGAATGTCCTATGAAGAAAATTAAGGGAAAATCTGCCTGACGACACTGGAGGACAGGAAGGTCGGGGAGATATGATAACGACATATAAATACTGCGTGAAATAGACAAGGTGGACAAAGCAGAAATGTTCCAGGGGGGGGACACGGAAACAAAAGGCCACAGTTGGAAGTTGAAGACACAAATGAGTCAGGGGATATTAGGAAGTATTTCTTTAGTCATAGAGTTGTCAGGCAGTGGAATAGCCTAGAAAATGACGTAGTGGAGGCAGGAACCATACACAGTTTTAAGACGAGGTTTGATAAGCTCATGGAGCTTGGAGAGAGAGGGCCCAGTAGCAACCAGTGAAGAGGCGGGGCCAGGAGCTAAGACTTGACCACTGGGAACCACAAAAAAGGTGAGTACAAATAGGTGAGTATACGGTATGGGGGCCTGGCAAACCTGAGAATAGCGTTCCGATACCTTAATAATTAATCGTTCGAGACACTGTACACTGTGTACGTCAGGACCATATAGAGTATGCAGCCCCCAGTTTGGAACCCACACCTGGTCAAGCACGTCAAGGTTTGCAACAAGGCTGTTCCAGAGCTCAGGGGAATGTCCTACGATGAAAGATTGAGGGGAAAACGGACCCGACGACACTGGAGGGGCAGGAGGGGCAGGGGAGGGCATGATAACAACATCCAAAATACTGCGTTGGAATAAACAAGGTGGACAGAGACAGGTGTTCCAGAGAGGGGACACAGAAACAAGGTCACAGTTGGAAGTGAAGATCAGACGAGTAAAAGGGATGTTAGGAAGTATTCTTCAGTTACAGAGTCGTCAGGAAGTGGAATAGCCTACCAAGCGATGTAGTGAAAGCAGGAAAACCTTTCATAGCTTTAAGACGAGGTTTGACAAAGCTCAGAAGGCAGAGAGAGAGAGGACCTAGTAGCGATCGTGAAGAGGCGGGGCCAGGAACTGGTCTTTGACCCCTGCAACCACAATTTAGGTGAGTATATATATATATATATATATATAATATATATATATATATTTTATATATATATATATATATATATATATATATATATATATATATATATTTATATATATATATATGCAAAACAACAGATGCAATCTTCCCACCCGGATATCAGATCCTGAGGAAGGATAGAAGGAGCGGGGGGGGGGAGGAGGGGTTGCACTACTAATAAAAAACCGGTGGGGTTATCAGAAATGGAAGGTATGGACGAGTTGGAGAAGGGGATACATAGTAGGTACAGTTCAGTCAGGGGAACACAAGGTAATCATTGCAGTTATGTATAACCCCAAACCAGAGAACTGCTGGAGGCCAAGAGAGGAATATGATGAATGCAACAGAGCCAATGGGGGACACGCTAGCTGAGGTGGCAAGAAGGGCCCACTCAAGTAGAGCGAAGTTATTGGTCATTGGTGACTTCAATCACAGGGAGATTGTTTGGGAAAACCTGGAGCCACATGGGGGTCCCGAAACATGGAGAGCCAGGATGATGGTTGTGGTGCTAGCAAATCTCATGCACCAACATGTTAGGGATATGCCAGAGAGAGAGGGGAGGATGAACAGCAAGACTGGACCTCGTGTTCACCTGATTTAGCTCAGACATTGAGCACATCACATATGAAGGCCCCTTGGAGCTAGTGACTACGTAGTTATGAGCTTTGAATACATCGTGGAGCTAAAATGTGGAGAGGGTAACAGGAGTAGAAAGGGAAAAAGCTAAACTATAAAAGGGGGACTACACAAGGGAATGAGGACCTTTCCCTGCAGGAGGTTCAGTGGGAACAGGAGTTGGTAGGAAAATCAGTAACGAAATGATGGACTTTGTAACAACAAAATGCAAGGAGGCAGAGGAAAGGTTTGTTCCCAAGGGTAACAGAATAATGGGAAGGACAGAACGAGCCTTGGTTTAACCCGAAGGTCCCAGGGGCAAAAACTAAGTGCTCTAGAGAATGGAAAAAGTACAGAAGGCAAAGGATCTCAGGGGGAATAAAGAGATTAGTCGACGAGCCAGAAACGAGTATGCACAGATAAGAAAGGAGGCGCAGCGGCAGTATGAAAATAACATAGCATCAAAAGTCAAGTCGGACCCTAAACTACTCTACAGCCACATCAGGAGGAAGACAACAGTCAAGGACCAGGTAATCAGGCTGAGGAAAGAAGGGGGGGGAGCTCACAAGAAACGACCAGGAGGTATGTGAGGAGCTCAACATGAGATTTCAGAAAGTATTTACAGTGGAGGCTGAAGGGACAACGGGAAGACAAAACAGTGGGGTACAGCAACAAGGGATATATCAACAAGTGTTGGATGAATTACACACAACTGAGGAGAAGGTGGAGAAGCTCCTAAGTGACCTTTATACCTCAAAGGCGGTGGGACCGGACGACATCTCTCCGTGGGTCCTTAGAGAGGGAGCAGGGACACTACGTGTGCCACTAACCAATATCTTCAACACTTCCCTTGAAACTGGATAGCTATGAAGTATGGGAAGAAGGCAAATGTAGTCCCCATCTTTAAGAAGGGAGACAGAAATGAAGCCAAAAATTTATAGACCAGTGTCACTGACATGTATAGTATGCAAAGTCTTGGAAAAGTTATCAGGAGGAGATTTAATGGAACCCCTGGAGCGGAACAAGATTAATAAACGACAGCCAGCACGGATTCAGGGAAAGGGCAAATCCTGTGTCACAAACCTACTAGAGTTTTACGACAAGGTAACTGAAGTAAGAAATGAGTGGGAGGGGTGGGTTGATTGCATTTTCTTGGACTGCAAGAAGGCCTTCGACACGTTCCTCACAAGAGATTAGTACAGAAGTAGAGGAACAGGCACGTATAACAGAAAGGGCACTACAATGGATCAGAATCCCTAAAGGGAGGCAACAGCGAGTCATGGTCCGTCTTTGAGGTATCACAGTGGGCGCCGTGACGAGCGGGGTCCCACAGGGGTCAGTCCTGAGAACAGTGCTATTTTTGGGTATATGTGAACGACATGGCGGAAGGGATAGACTCAGAAGTGTCCCTGTTTGCAGATGACGTGAAGTTAATGAGGAGAATTAATCAGACGCGGACCAGACAGGTCTACAAAGAGACCTGGACAGGCTGGATGTGTTGGTCCAGAAACTGGCTCGTGGAATTTAACCCCCCAAATGCAAAGTCATAAAGATCGGAGGAGGGCAAGAAGACTGCAGACAGAGTATAGGCTTAGGGGGCCCAAAAGGCTGCCAAACCTCACGCAAGGAGAAAGACCTAGGAGTGAGTATAATACCGAGTACATCGCCAGAAGCACACATTAACCAGATAATTTGCTGCGGCATATGGGCGCTTGGCAAACCTGAGAATAGCGTTCCGGTCCCTTCAGTAAGGAATCGTTCAAGACTTTATACACTGTGTACGTCAGGCCCATACGGGAAAGTACGCACACCAGTTTGGCCCCACACCTGGCTAAACACGTCAAGAAATTAGAGGAAGTGCAAAGGTTTGCAACAAGGCTAGTTCCAGAGCTAAGGGGAATTCCTATGAACAAAGGTAAGGGAAATCGGTCTGAAACACTGGAGGACAGGGAGGTCAGGGGAGACATGATAACGACATACAAAATACTGCATGGAATAGACAAGGTGGAGAGAGACGGATGTTACGAGATGGGACACAGAAACAAGGGGTCACAATTGGAAAACTGAAAACTCAGATGAGTCAGGAAAGGGGTGTTAGGAAGTATTTTTTTCAGTCATAGAGTAGTTAGGAAGTGAAAATAGTCTGGCAAGCGATGTAGTGGAGGCAGGAAATATACATAGTTTTAAGACGAGGTTGATAAAGCTCATGGAGCAGAGGGAAAAGAGGACCTAGTAGCGGTCGGTGAAGGGCGGGGCCAGGAGCCGAGTCTCGACCCCTGCAGCCACAATTAGGTGGTACACCCCACAACACACACACACACCACACACACACCACACCACAAAACACACACACACATATATATATTTTATATATAATATTTATATATATATTATATTATATTATATATATATATTTATAAATATATATATATATATATATATATGTCGTGCCGAATAGGCAGAACTTGCGATCTTGGCTTAAAAGCAACGTTCATCTTGCCATATAGGACAAGTGAAAATTTGTGTAAATAATAATTTCGCCAAAATCATTCTGAAACCCAACGAAAAAAAATATTTTCACTGGGTTTGTTTAGTATTAAATTATTGTAAACAAATCTAAAATATATTTAGTTTGGGTTAGGCTAGAATAAATTGTTCTTGTTATAATAAGGTTAGGTAAGTTTTCTAAGATTCTTTTGGTACCAAATTAAAAATTTTTACATTAACATTAATTTAAAAAAAAATATCTTCAAACGTATAAGAAAAAATTTCAGAAAAAGGACTTAATTTTAAATGAGTTTTTGCTAATTGACCAAATTTTACATATTCGGCACGACATATATATATATATATTATATTATATATATATATTTTATATATATATATATATATTTTTTATATATATATATATTATATATAGGAATAAGATCACAGTAAACAGGTGATATAGAACATGCAAAGCAACTACTGTGAAAGTATAGTGAAATTCCAAGCGCTTTCGTGACTTTCCCCCATTATCATAGTTCCTTGATAAAAGTGAGAAGTCACGAAAACGCTTGAATTTCACTATTCTTTCACAGTGAAAAACAAAATTTAAAATATGACTATATCCAATTGGGTATAGTATCTGTAATCTTGTCTTTTGTGGTACATCTACGGGATGGGCTGCAGGTGCACAATAAACTAGATGCTCAGGCGGCACAAAGTAAGTCAAAGTGGAATGTTTTGCATTAGGTAGTGAAGGCTGACTAAATGATTCCGTGTATAGATACGACAAAGCACAATAGGATAGGGAACCATGAAGCCAGAAGATAATGATAGAGGCTGTGCTAAGAGCTGTGAATTGACCTCAAAACCACAACTATTTGAGTACATGTTTCCACTCTCCTGCGTCACCAAGCAGTAATGTGACTACTGGGAACCCGAGACCTTGCCACCTGCGTTAGGAACTGCCGGAACGACCACCAACTCACGTGTCTCGTCATTCTATCTAAACTGGTGGGGCGGGGAGAGCCAAAGTGAAAGTACGCGCTTTAGTGTAGGACCTGTTGTTTATAATCATCCCTTCAGCATTTAACACAGAGAATCCTCTTTTAATTTTTGTTAACCAAATATTCCTTATGCAACTAAAGTATTTCACTTTGGCTGATGACCATTGAATGTGTGACGATGACACTAGAAAACCATTATTTTGTACACTGCACTCGGTGGGTACCCATTTCCCATTCCGCTGTTTTAATCGCCTTTCTGCTTTATTGCCTTTATTATTGGTTATTTTTTCCTAATAGACGACAATCTATAACTAAACGTAACTTAACTTAGCCTAAATATCGTATATCGAGAAATTTATTTATAGCCTGATGGGAATTATTATTACGTATTATTATTATGGGGAGCGCTAAACCCTTACCTAATGGAGAGATGTATAAATCTGGAACTTTATGTTGTATAATTGTTGTTAGCTGATGATGAACCTCTGTGGTGTCCAGGTTGGTGATAGTACAGCGAATGTACTCTCCCCTTAAGAAATTTGAAAATTAAGTTAACCTGCCAAGGTGGTCGCCAGTCCCCCTGAATACCAAAAGACACAGACTAACTTAGTATTGATTATTTTAAAACAGACTTACTGCTTACAATAAGGTACAGGATGCTACTGTCTATACTTTTGTGAGGATAGTGATGAGGGTAGAATGTAAAGCTGATAAATTTAAGATATCCACAGTCTTTAACAAAAAGTATTGATTACAGGGATTGAGACACTCGCCTTCCTAGCGACCTTTACATTAGGCATTTAAAGGAAAGTGATTGGACAAAATCTAGTTCATAAACATACATTTTTTGGTCAGATTCAGAGAACATTAGGCAAATATTATGTAATGTATTCACAGGTGCCGCTCAGATGGATCCTGCAACAATAACAACATTGTTATTCATTTGTAACCAGAGCAGTGTGTGTGGCAGTCAGTTTATCAACCAGACACTATTGATTATCCTTTTCCCGTAATGTCTATAATAGTAAATATAATATCTTGACTCGCAGCTAAGATTCAACGGTATCATGAGAACGAAATTAAACTCCCAGCTAAAGGCTTTCTACAAGCACGTTAATATTAAACTTTTCCCTTTATATAACTGAAAGAAATACACTTATCAGTGTTTATACTCTGAGAGGTATACACTTCTCAATGTATATAAAGTGAAAGATACACACCGTGTATGTACGTGGAGACGTACATACTCCTCAGTTTATAAACACTTTTTTTTGTGTATACATTCTCTAGTGACTATGTTAAGTTTTGCCATCAGGGCTTGTCAAGCTCCACTAGGCTACTTCACACGCTGTTGTTATCCCCGCTACTCTTGAACATCAACACTCACAACCCACCCGATAAACACACAGACGCAACCCCTGGCTGTGTCATGCTCTCTGGCGCGACGCACTTTTTTATACACATGGGTAACTTTTGATTTAAAATACACGATTCCATAGTTTATAATTTATATAAACACACACATATAAACACACACACACACACACACACACACACACACACACACACACACACACACACACACACACACACACACACACACACACACACACACACACACACACACACACACACACTACATTGTAGGTACAATTCAGTCCGGAGAACATAAAGTAGTCATTGGAGTGATGTATAACCCACCACAGAACTGCAGGAGGCCAAGAGAGGAGTACGAAGAAAACAACAGGGTGATGGTGGACACACTGGCTGAGGTGGCAAGAAGAGCTCACTCGAGCAGAGCAAAGTTACTGGTAATGGGCGATTTCAACCACAGGGAGATCGACTGGGAAAACCTGGAGCCACATGGGGGTCCCGAAACATGGAGAGCCAAGATGATGGATGTGGTACTTGAAAACCTCATGCATCAGCATGTCAGGGACACAACCAGAGAGAGAGGGGAGGATGAGCCAGCAAGACTGGATCTTGTGTTCACCCTGAGCAGTTCAGACATTGAGAACATCACTTATGAGAGGCCCCTTGGAGCTAGCGATCATGTGGTTCTGAGTTTTGACTATATAGTAGAGTTACAAGTGGAGAAGGTAACAGGAACTGAAGGGGACAGGCCAAACTATAAAAGGGGGGACTACACAGGTATGAGAAACTTCCTGCAGGAGGTTCAGTGGGACAGAGAAATGGTAGGAAAATCAGTAAACGAGATGATGGAATATGTGGCAACAAAGTGCAAGGAGGCAGAGGAAAGTTTTGTTCCCAAGGGAAACGGAAATAATAGGAAGACCAAAACGAGTCCTTGGTTTACCCGAAGGTGTAGGGAGGCAAAAACTAAGTGCAACAGAGAATGGAAAAGGTACAGGAGGCATAGGACCCAGGAAAACAAGGAGATTAGTAGAAGAGCCAGAAACGAGTATGCACAGATAAGGAGGGAGGCCCAGCGACAGTATGAAAACGACATAGCATCGAAAGTCAAATCTGACCCGAAACTGCTGTATAGCCACATTAGGAGGAAGACAACAGTCAAGGACCAGGTGATAAGGCTGAGGAAAGAAGGTGGAGAACTCACAAGAAACGATCAAGAGGTATGTGAGGAGCTCAACACGAGATTTAAGGAAGTATTTACAGTAGAAACAGGAAGGACTCTGGGGGGACAGACCAGATGGGGACACCAGCAAGGAATACACCAACAAGTGTTGGACGACATACATACAGATGAGGAGGAGGTGAAGAAACTGCTAAGGGACATCGATACTCAAAGGCAATGGGACCAGACAACATCTCCCCGTGGGTCCTTAGAGAGGGAGCAGATATGTTGTGCGTGCCACTTACCACAATCTTCAACACATCCCTGGAAACTGGGCAACTACCTGAGGTATGGAAGACGGCAAATGTAGTTCCCATTTTTAAAAAAGGAGACAGAAAAGAGGCACTAAACTATAGACCTGTGTCATTGACGTGTATAGTATGCAAAATTATGGAGAAGATTATCAGGAGGAGAGTGGTGGAGCACCTGGAACGGAACAGGAGTATAAATGCCAACCAGCACGGATTCACGGAAGGCAAATCCTGTGTCACAAACCTTCTGGAGTTTTATGATAAAAATAACAGAAGTAAGACAAGAGAGAGAGGGGTGGGTTGATTGCATCTTCTTGGACTGCAAGAAGGCCTTTGACACAGTTTCCTCACAAGAGATTAGTGCAGAAGCTAGAGCATCAGGCGCATATAACAGGAAGGGCACTGCAATGGATCAGAGAATACCTGACAGGGAGGCAACAACGATTCATGGTACGTAATGATGTATCACAGTGGGCACCTGTGACGAGCGGGGTCCCACAGGGTCGGTCCTAGGACCAGTGCTATTATTTGGTATATGTGAACGACATGACGGAAGGGTTAGACTCAGAAGTGTCCCTGTTTGCAGATGATGTGAAGTTAATGAGGAGAATTAAATCTGATGGGACCAGGAGGCTTCAAGGACCTGGACAGACGGACACCTGGTCCAGAAAATGGTTCTCAAATTTAATCGAAAATGCAAAGTATAAAGATGGGGGAGGGGCACGAAGCCCAAACAGAGTATAGGCTAGGGGGGGCCAAAGACTGCAAACCTCCCCAAGGGAAAAAGATCTTGGGGTGATAAAAAACCGAGCATGTCCCGGAAGCAACATAAATCAGATAACTGCTGCGCATAGGGGCGCGGGCAAACCTGAGAACAGCATTCCGATACCTTAGTAAGGAATCATTCAAGACATGTACCCGTGTATGTCAGGCCCAAGGAGTATGCAGCCCCTTTTTGGGAAACCCCGCACTTGAAAAGCACGTCAAGAAACTAGAAAAGTAAAAAGGTTTGCGACAAGGTTAGTTCCAAAGGCTAAGGGAATGTCCTAGGGGAAAAGTTTAAAGGGGAAATGGGGGCCCCTGACCACCTGGAGGACAGGAGGGTCAGGGGAGACTGATAAGACATATAAATACTGCGGGGAATAGACAAGGGGGGACAAAGACGGATGTTCCAGGGAGGGACACAAAAACAAGAGGCCACAATTGGGAATTGAAGACACAAATGAGTCAAGGATAGAGGAAGTTTTTTTCTTCAGTCATAGAGTTGTAAGGCAGGGGAATACCCCTAGAAAATGACGTAGTGGAGGCAGGAACCATACACAGTTTTAAGACGAGGTTTGATAAAGCTATGGAGCGGGGGAGGGGGGCCCCCTGTAGCAACCCGGTGAAGAGGCGGGGGCCCGGGGGTAGGACTCGCCCCTGCAACCCCAAAGGGGGGTACAAATAGGTGAGTACACACACACCACACACACCAAATATATATTATAAATATATATATATAATAAATATATATATTATAATATATTTTATAAATATATATATATTTTTAAAATATATAAACCGTGATTTTTGTTTATATCACCCCGGTGTGTTGTGCTTATATTTATATAAATGGGGGTGTGTTTGTGTTCTTTTTATTTCATTTAATTTTTATATAAAACATTAAGGTTACTATAAAATTTTAAGCAGCCAATTCAATCTTTAGAACCAAAAAGGGGGAAACAAAATTTTTAAATTTTAAAATAGTATGAGGGCGCTGGGGACATTTTGGGACCTGGTGACACTAAAACAAAAAAAAGACCGTTGACGTGACATTGTTTTTGCCTGACATGCCCAACCCGGTCCAGAAGGGCCCCTTTATGGGGGCCGGAGGATATGTCAATTTGCATTTTTTTTTCTTGGATGATCCCTTGACAAGGGCTTAATTAAGAACATAAGAAAATAAAAAGAAGGAAAAACTGCAGAAGGCCTATGGGCCCTGCGAGGCAGGTCCAATCTCCCACGGGTTAAACCAATGACCCAACCCATCAGGGCGGGCCATTGACTTAAGGGGGAAACGGCAACCGACCGGTTTGAAAGCTATCGGGTTTAATCACCCCACCCACATCCCTCATTATTTATCCAACCCATTTTTTAAAATACACAACGTTCTGGCCCCCATAACGGTACTTGGGAGTTTGTTCCACTCACCCACACCTTTACCAAACCAGTATTTCCTATTCCCTTTTGGGAACTGAATTTTTTTAACTTAAAACCATGCTGCGAGTCCTTTAGGTAGTATTTTCAGCACACTATTTTCACCCCCTTTTTTTTTTTCCCGCTTCCATTTTTTTTACACCTCATCATACCCCCCCCATTCTTCGTCTTTCTAGAGAGGGGCAGATTCAGGGCCTTTTCTATCCCATAGGGAAGGTTTTCTGATACATGGGATCAACTTTTATCCCCCTTTGTACATTTTAGAGAATTTATACCTTTTGTAAACGGTGACCAAACTTGCAGCATAAAACTAAAGAGGCCAAACCAAGGTGTAAGAGTTGAAAAAACAACCTGAGGGGCTCCTATTATTTAGCTTCTTGAATGAACCAGGATTTTATTAGCTTTTTTTGCGAACACTTATCACTGTTGTCTTGGTTTCAATTAGCTAACAGAACTCCAAAATCTTTTTCGCAATCCGTAATATTAAGAATTTTCTTTATTTATTTTAAATATGGGGGCATTTTTATTTTTTCCTGTCCAACATTTTAGAATTTTTGAAATTTGTCTATTTTAAAACTTTTGAATCTTGCCACTTCTCCGACCATTTGCTTCGGGTCTTTTAAAATTTCTTCCGGGAAATGGCTCGAAGTCCTCCAGAATGAATTGGGAGGGCCTTTTTTTGTTTTTCCATCGGCAAATTTTCGATTCGCTTTTTTATCCCTCTTCTTGCCCGTTTATGTAGATTGTGAACAGCGGGGGGCCCCCCCAAACACGCCCCCGGGGGAACACCGTCGGGACATTTCCCCCACTCTGATTTCTCCCGGGTTTGTGTTTAAAAACATCTGTTTTTGATTTGACTTTAAAATATATGTATTGTAAAAGATGGAGTGTTTTATAGGACTGAGTCGTCCCCCCTGTTTCAGTTAATCACTCCCCTTGAAAAAGGGGGTATAATACCTTTTATATGATGGGGCATGGGAAGTTACCGTCACAAAGGGCCGGCGGTAACAATCGCCCCATTGATATAATTCCCGGGTAGTGAGTGTTTCCTTATTTTTCCCCCTAAGAACAAAAAGGCAAAATTTCCCGTAAATAGAACAAAAAACCCCGCACTTTACGAAGTGAAGCTTATGTGACACTTTTAGGCTAAATTGTACCATTTACAACCCACACTTTAAATAGTCGAAGTCGGCCCGGGAAACGTCGTCAAAAGCTTCTTTTTTTCCACATGGTTGAGGATTATTTGTGTATTTTTTTTCCCTACGATGTCGTGATGTCAACATCAGTGTATTGACGCTTCCTTTTGTAAAAATTAATTTTTATATATTACTTCTCCGACGAGACGGCCAAAAAAGGGGCAACTTTTAAAATTCATAACTTTTAAATTCACTGGTGGTGCCCAAATTATTGCTGGGATGCTGTGAAAAAAAACCCTTTAAACCGGGGGCCAAGTTTTTTGAATGGATGTGTTGGGCCTTTCCACGTTTTATTTTCTTCAACAATAAAAAAATATATTTTTTAAAAATTAAGGGACATGGGTGTAAATTTGGGGGAAAAAATGCTTTTTATTAAAACAATTTTTTGTTCTGGCTTTATTGACGAGGTACGTGGAGCTCTTCATTGGCCCGAGGTGATTGATGTTTTGTTTGGGGGCTCTGGTTGGCTGAGATGTATATGTTTTCCCCCCTGGGAACTCTGATTGGTTGAGGTATATGACGGCTTCTGCAGGGCCCCGGGTGAAGGGGTAAAGATGTACTGGTTTTTTAGCCCCGACTGAAATGTAAAATGTGCTGGGGTTTAGCCCCCCACTGAGGTGTATTAATTTTGGGGTGGGTTTTAGCCCCGGGTGGGGGTATATGTGCTTTGGTTTTTTAGCCCCCGAAGAAGTGTATGATGTGTGGTTGTAAACCCCGGCTTTAAGTGAAAGATGTGCTTGGGTTTTAGGGCCCCCCGGGGGTGTTTTGAGGTTAATTTGGTTTTAGCCCTCGCTGAGGTGATGAAGTGCTGGTTTAGCCCTGGCTAAAGGGTATGATGTGCTGGTTGTACCCTGACTTTTGGGGTATGATGTGTGTTTTTTAGCTCTGAGGTGGGATGATGTACTGGGTTTCAACCCCGGCGAGGTGTATGATGTACTGATTGTAAACCCTTGGGCTGAGGTGTATTTTGTTTCTGGTTGTACTCTGGCTGAGGTGTAGATGTACGGTTTTTTAGCCCTGATGAGGTGTTTTGAATTGCTGGTTGTAGCTCTGGTGAGGGGGATGATGGGCTGGTTGGGAGCCCTGGGTAAAATGTAGATGTGCCAATTGCAGCCTTTACGAGGGGGTTATTTTTGCTGGGGTTTTTAGCCCTGGCGAAAGGGGTATGATGTGCTGGTTGTAGCCCTGGCTAAGGTGTATGATTGCTAGTTCAGCCCTGGGTAAGGTGTATATGTGTGAATTTTAGCCCTGACTGAGGGGTTTTGATGTGTAGTTTTTAGCCCTGCAAGGTGTATGATGTGGGTAGTTGCCCGCCCTGGCTAAGGTTTTATGATGTGCTGGTTGTTTGCCCCGACTGAGGGGTATGATGTTGCTGGTTGTGCCCTTTACTGAGGTGGATGGTGTGTGGTTGTAGCCCTGACTGAGGTGTTTTGAAAGTTCTGGTTGTTTGCCCGCTGAGGGTAGGGGTGCTGGGTTTTAGCCTTGGCGGAAGTATGATGTACTGGTTTTTGGCCCCCGACTGAGGTTTATGGTGTGCTGGGTTTTAGCTTTGGCTGAGGTGTATGATGTCTGGTTGTTTGCCCCGACTGGGTGTATGATGTTTTTGGGTTTTAGCCTTGGCTTAGGTGTATGATGTGCTGGTTGACCCTACTGAGGGGTATAAATTTCTGGTTTTTGCCTTTGGGTGAGGTTAAAAAAAGTGGTTGGTTTTTAGCCCTGATGGGGTTTTATGTGCTGTTTTTAGCCCTGACTGAGGGGGTATGATGTACGGTTTTTGCCCTGACTGAGGTGTATGATGTAATTTTTTTTAGGGCCCTTTCTGAGGTTTTATGGTGTGCTGGGTTTTAGCCCTGACAGAGGGTATATGTGCTTGTTGTAGCCCTGACTGGGTGTATGATGTGTGGGGTTTTTGGGCCCCGACTGAGGTTTAATTTTTGTGGTGGTTGTAGCCCCCGATGAGGTTTTAAGATTTTCGGTTTGTAGCCCTGACTGAGTGTTGGGTGTGCTGGTTGTAGCCCCGGGCTGGGGGTTTTGATTTTTGCTGGTTGTAGCCCTGACTGAGTGTATGATTTGCTGGTTGTTCCCTGCTAGGTGTATGATGGGCTGGTTGTAGCCCTGCTGAGGTGTATGATGTGGGTGGTTTGTAGCCCTGACTGAGGTGTAAAAAAATTTCTGGTTGTAGCCCTGACTGAGGTGTATGATGTGCTGGTTGAGCCCTGACTGAGGTGTATGAATTTTACTGGTTTTTTGCCTTGGCTGGGTGTTTTTGATGGGGCTGGTTGTAGCCCTGACTGAGGTGTATGATTGCTGGTTGTAGCCCGATCTAGTGTTTTGATTTGCCCGTTGAGCCCTTAATGAGGTGTATGATGTACTGGTTTTTGCCCTTTGGGTAGGTGTAAAATGTGCGGTTTTTAGCCCTTTATGAGGGGTATGATGTGCTGGTTGGGACCCGACTGGGGGGTATGGGTGTGTTGGTTTTTAGCCCCGACGAGGGGTAAAAAATGTGCTGGTTTTAGCCCCGACTGAGGTTTTTAAGATGTGTGGTTTAGCCCCGACTGAGGTGTATGAGGGGCTGGTTTTTACCCTGATGAGGTTTATAAAGTTGGTTGTAGCCCTAAAAGAGGTGTATGTTTTGGGTGGTTGTAGCCCTGGCTGGGGGGTGTAAGATGGGGGGTTGTAGCCCCGACTGAGGGGTTTTAGTGTTTCGGGTTTTTGCCCTGGCTGAGGTGTATGATGTGCTGGTTGTAGCCCTGACTGAGGTGTAATGATGTCGGTTGTAGCCCTGACTGAGGTGTAAAGATTGCTGGTTGTGGCCCCGACTGAGGTGTATTATGTGCGGGGTTTAAACCTGACTGAGGGGATGATGTGCTGGTTGTAGCCCTGACTGAAAGGGGTAGGGTGTGTGGTTGTGCCCCGACTGAGGTGTAAAGATGTGCTAGTTGCAAACCCCGGGGACTGGCTGATAAGTAAAGCTTCACCCATTTTTTTTTTTCAAATAGGTTAAGTTTTGGTTTAAAATTTTTTTTGAATGTTCACTTTTCCCTCACATCTTACCTATTTACCATCCCCTACCTTTACCTTCCCCCCCCCACCCATCCTTCAACCCAACTCTCCAACCCCCCCCTCTCCTAGTCTCCTTCAACCCCCCCTTCCTAACCTTGGCTTTTAAGGGGGAGTCCCCTGACCCCTGCTAAACCCTTTTACGTCCCCGTAAAGAAGCAGGGGAAACAGGGAAATAATTGTTAAGACGGAGGGGGGGAGGGGGAAAGTGAAGAAAATGGTTTGAGTTGTTGAAGCGGAAAAATATTTGAGGGGAATTTTGGGGAAAGGGAGGCCGGAGGGTTTTTGCTAGTAGCGCTTTTAAAGAAAATGGAGAAGGGATTTCAGGGAAAATAAAGGGGAAAATGGTGTGAGGGGGGGACTAATTTTAAAAGGAGAGCATCCAGTTACCACCTTCAGCTAGACCCTGGGGTTTTTTTGGTGTGATAAATAGCTGCGGTCTTTTAACAAATATCCCTAGCAGCATTTTTCCCCAGGATACAATTACAACAGTAAATAAAAGCCCAGTACCTATTTTTTTAATTTTAGGTAACAAGATAGCATAAACTTTCCCCTAATTTTCCCTGGGGGCGAAAATCGAAATCGGGTCCTTTCGGCTATGAGCCGAATATTCAGGGTCAGGCTACATTTCATTATTGTGTGTAAAAAACCCATCCTGTGTGTTGAAATATGATAAGAAACAGCCAGCTTTGTTTCCACTTGGTAACCATTGTATCAAGTAGGTTACTTAATTTTATTTGATAAAAGCGTCATCATATTGAATACTTGCACCCTGAAGTATACCTGGAGAGGGTTTCGGGGGTCAACGCCCCCGCGGCTCGGTCTGAGACCAGGCCTCATGGTGGATCAGGGTTTGATCAACCAGGCTGTTACTGCTGGCCGCACGCAAACTGACGTACGAAACATAGCCTGGCTGGTCAGGTACTGACTTTAGGTGCCTGTCCACTGCCTTCTTGAAGACAGCCAGGGGTCTATTGGTAATCCCCCTTATGTATACTGGGAGGTAGTTTAACAGTCTTGGGCCCCGGACACTCATTGTGTTGTCTCTCAGTGTACTCGTGGCGCCCCTGCTTCTCATTGGGGGAATGTTGCATCTCCTGCCGAGTCTTTTGCTTTCATAGGGAGTGATTTTCGTGTGCAAGTTTGGTACTAATCCCTCTAGGATTTTCCAAGTGTATATTATCATGTATCTGCGAGTATACCTAATTTTATTGAATTGTAAAGACCTCTCTAGGCTTAAAAAAAAAAACGAGATTTTAGATCCTGTCGAATTTTTTGTTACGGGACATCACGGTAAGCGACAGCTCTCGGTCAGATAGATAACCAAAAGTTCCATTGACCAGGTCATGCCTTAGACAGGGATGTGTTATGTCACCATGGTTGTTCAACATATTTATAGATGTGGTTGTAAGAGAAGTGAATGCTCGGGTGTTGGCAAGAGGTATGGGGTTAAAAGATAAAGAATCTAACACGAAATAGGAGTTGTTGCAGTTGCTCTTTTCTGATGACACTGTGCTTTTGGAAGATTCTGAAAAGAAGTTGTAGAGGTTAGTTGATGAGTTTGGTAGGGTATGTGAAAGAAGGAAATTAAAAGTGATTTGGAAAGTGGTTTGGACATGTAAAGAGGATGGAACGAAATAGAATGACTTCGATAGTGTATAAATGTGTAGTTGAGGGAAGGTAGGGTAGGGGTAGGCCTAGGAAAGGTTGGAGGGAGGGGGTAAGGAGGATTTGTGTATGAACTACTAGCGAGCGTTGTGTGAGCGTGCTAGACAGGAGCAAATGGAGACAAATGGTCTTTAGGACTTGACGTGCTGTTGGAGTGTGAGCAAGGTAAGATTTATGAAGGTATTCAGGGAAACCGGCAGGCCGAACTTGATTCCTGGAGATGGGAAATACAGTGTCTGCACTCTGAAGGAGGGGTGTTAATGTTGCAGTTTTATAACTGTAGTGTAAGCGCGCGTCTGGCAAGACAGTGATGGAGTGAATGATGATGAGAGTTTTTCTTTTTTGGGCCACCCTGCCTTGGTGGGAAACGGCCAATATGTTAATAAAAAAATAAAAAAAATATATATGTCTTGCCGAATAAGTAAAACTTGCGATTTTGGCTGAACTAGCAACGCACTTCTTGCCGAATAGGGCAAGCGAAAATTTGTGTGTGCAATAATTTCGCAAAATCATTTTGAACCTAACTAAAAAATATATTTCATTGTGTTTGTTTATTATTAAATTATTATAAACTTACATAAAATATATTTAATCGGATTAGGCTAAATTAAATTGCGTTTGCTATAACAAGGTCAGACAAGTTTCCTAAGGTTCTTTTGGTACAAAATTATTAATTTTTATATTAACATAAATGAAAAAATGTATATCTTTAAATATATAAGAGAAAATTTTAGAAAGGACTGAATTTTAAATGAGTTCTTGCTAATTGACCAGTTTTACATATTCGGCACGACATATATTATTATATATAATATATATATATATATATATATATATATATATATATATATATATATTATATATATATATATATATATATATATATATATATATATATACCTGCATCACAAGTGCATTCCAATTTCACCTGGCAAAAAACAAAAAGAAAACACTGCCATCACCTTAATTTCTTTTGTGGTTAGTCTGCATCTGCCCGGGGAAATATCCTCGTTTTGTTGCTGTGGATTTATATGTTTTCTGGTTTTTATTGTTGTGTTGAGAACTCGTCGCCAGGATGATCCGGTTGGAAGCTCTGAGGATCCCGGCACCTTCCTGTGGGGTCTCCGTCCCCGCCCCTCTCACCGGGGGAACACACCTGTACAACTTTCGATAGTTGTTCATCTAATCTGTTGTCTGAAAATATTTTGACAGGTATTCACTCCCTTTTAGCATAGAAAAACACATTCATATATATATATATATATATATTATATATATATATATATTTATATATATATATATATATATTATATATATATAATATATATTTATATATATATTATATATATATATTAATATATATTATATATATATATTTTATATATATATATATATATAATATATGACTCCAGTGAAGACTCCTTTGGGAAGGTACTTGCTTGGACATCCTCCTCTTTTCTGCAGATTTGCAAGCTCCTGATGATGTGTTGATTGCAACACGAAAGGCCTACAGCTATCATTCTACTCCCTCCGTGGTTGTTTTGCGCTTACACACACACACACACACACACACACACACACACACACACACACACACACACACACACACACACACACACACACACACACACACGCACAACACACAAAACACACACACACACACACCACACACACACACACACACACACACAGACCAGACAGACCAGATGGGGGACATCAGCAAGGAATACACCAACAAGTGTTGGACGACATACATACAGATGAGGAGGAGGTGAAGAAACTGCTAAGGGACATCGATACCTCAAAGGCAATGGGACCGGACAACATCTCCCCGTGGGTCCTTAGAGAGGGAGCAGATATGTTGTGCGTGCCACTTACCACAATCTTCAACACGTCCCTGGAAACTGGGCAACTACCTGAGGTATGGAAGACGGCAAATGTAGTTCCCATTTTCAAAAAAGGAGACAGAAAAGAGGCACTAAACTATAGACCTGTGTCATTGACGTGTATAGTATGCAAAATTATGGAGAAGATTATCAGGAGGAGAGTGGTGGAGCACCTGGAACGGAACAAGAGTATAAATGCCAACCAGCACGGATTCACGGAAGGCAATCCCGTGTCACAAACCTTCTGGAGTTTTATGATAAAATAACAGAAGTAAGACACGAGAGAGAGGGGTGGGTTGATTGCATCTTCGTGGACTGCAAGAAGGCCTTTGACACAGTTCCTCATAAGAGATTAGTGCAGAAGCTAGAGCATCAGGCGCATATAACAGGAAGG